TGAAGACCACTGAAAGCGGGGGTGACCAGCAGAGCGCTGCGTGGGGGATGGGTGTCTAGGGAGGCTGAAGGAATTCTGATTGCGGCCCGGGGCCAGTTTCTCAGTGTTTGGGGAAAAGCTGCCGCTGACCCGGGCACAGAGCAGTCAGGGCAAAGAAGAAAGTAGGGGGCCTGGGGCACCCCACAGTCCACTGTCTGACCAGCTCTCCGGCTCTCGGCCACCCACTCCCGCGATGCTGCCTGGGCAGGCGGGAAAGGGCCGCGTGCCTGGCCCCGTCTTTGGCCCTGACTTTATGAACTGCTGCAACCAACCACACCAACAGCAGCCACAGGTGCGTGTTAAAAAGCCTGAAGCCACAGCTCCCACAGGGCTGGCTGCCTGGGCCCCTCCCGCAAACCGAGCTCTTATCCTGGACGCCCGGGGTCCTCTCCCGACTGGTCCCTGCCTGTGAGAGTCTGGACGGAGGAGGGCTGACTGAGCCCAGGGCTCGGCCACCCCCGGGTGCAGCGTCCGCGGCTCTTCCTAGAGCTCAGTCCCGCAGAGCCGCTGGGCGCCGTTCAGCCGGTCAGAAGTGTTCTTGGCCTGGCAGACCAGTCTGTGCAAGCCGATCGTGTCCTGGGGCGTAGGTCTGTGGCCCGGGGCAGTGAAGGATGCAGGGTCCCTGGTGTTCCCTGAGGGTCTTCAGAGTGGGCGCGCTGAGCCCACGGAGCCGTGCCCCGCTTGCCGGCCTGGTCCCCACTGCTGGCATATGGGGCTCTCGCGAGCAGCTCTGGCTTTGGCGGTTGCCCCTTGTGGGGTGTGTTTGGTGCAGGGGCTGCTCAGTGCCACGTGCTGACCCCCAGGTTTGTGCGGTGGTGCTGCAGGTGTCTGGAGGCCCCATTTCCATGTGGGGTTCAGTTAGGCTCGCCGGGAGGGACCTAGACCCCACGGGGGTCGCCTCCTGGGGACCGGACGGCATGAAGCTGACAATGCCGTGGTGAAGTCAGCCTTGCTGGGGACAGGACGCCCAAGCTTGAATGGGGCTGATAGAGCAACAAAGGAGGGGCTGGCGCTGGGGTGTAGCAGGTTAAGCCTCTGCCTGCAGCATCCTGTACTGGCGCCGGTTCGAGTCCCAGCTGCCCCACTTCTGATCAGCTCTCTGCTAGTGGCCTAGGGAAGGAGTGGAGAT